GGCAACCTTGGGAATATAGCAGTAGATGACTTTGTATTTGTCATTAACAATTAAATTACTCAGGTCTTTTGGCCTAATCGTCTTTCCTTTGATAGCTGCAGGGTGCTTTGCTCAATCCTCTCATGGACTTCAAATATCTGCTATAGTGGATTGACGACTAGTACCTCTTAGTAAGGGAGTGAAGTGAGCTAGAAACCGGCACATCATCTGAGAAATGATGAACTTACATACACGGTTTTGCTAATTACAGACCCTTATATTGGGTCAATTAATTACTACAAAGAACTACAAGGGAAAACTACATTGATTACTTGAAGAGTTCGCGAGAAAATGCATTTTTTTGTAATATTCAAAGGAAAAATAAAGCCGTCCAAAAGATCTCGGCCATTTTATAGTAGTGTGCTCAGTCTCGGGTGGGGGACTCCCACATGAAAGGGACGGGGATGCTCGTCGGAAATTTTGAATTAAACCCCTAAAGGAGACCAATCTGGGCGTGGCCCAACCTTTTTTTGAGCCTGAAAGCGATCATTTTAAACTTTGATTACATGAATCGAGTAAATAAAACGAATAATTTTTTAATATTTCTCGAGTGCAACCCTAAAAGAGACCTTCACGGCTAAATATAATGGTGTTTTGCCCAGAACACCCTAAGCGAGACCAAAATCTGAAATTTACACCCGAGACGACGAGCATCCCCGCCCCTTTCATATGGGAGTCCCCCCCTCCCCGGGGTGCTCAGTGCACTGGCCTTTGAAGACCTTGAATAGAAGCGAGACTAGGGGTAGCCTTGTTTTGTTACAAACCTTCCTGCTCTTCATGTGCAAATCGTGTTATTCATATTTTAACAATGTTATGTTATGTTAACAATGTGTGTTATGTTAACTGTGGATATCAGGAAAAACCCTCATTAAAAAAAGCCCGTAAACATCATCTCCTCCAGATTCCTTCTCAGTATTGTGTAGTTTGGTAATAATAAGTAACGATCAGTTTTGAAAAGGTACGTTGACTAGCATACGAAACTTCAAGTTTATGTATAAATGCGAAAGGCGCGGTTCAGAATGTTTAACATTACTTGACATCGCTTTTTGTGTTTTATTTTTGATTTAGTAACGATGGCCCAAGAACAAAAGTCGGATCTAGGTTTCTGGGAAACTGCCCACCTACCCCTCCCCTAAGCTAACAATAACACTTACTTCTCACTTTGGGAAAAATTATGGCTTAGGGGAGGGGTAGGTGGGCAGTTTCAAAGAAACCTATTCAGCCTCGCTTCTATTCAAAAGCCAGGGCACTGAGTACGTTACTGTAACATTGCATATTGTAACGCTATAAGATTCCTCCACAGATTTAAGGTGACTAAGTCATGCTATTTGATATCTTTTGTAAAAAGCTAAAACTTTTCTCGTATCAATGCTATTGAAAAAAAATAATGGTCCATTTTTGTTATTCAATAGGCACTGACTGTTTCCTTATTGTCTGTTGCAACGGATGACAACGACCGAAATAGATTGAAACTTGAAAACGCTGGGCCAACCTTTTCAAGTTTCAATGCTCACCAAAAAATATATCATACTTAGTGCTCCCCTATGAAATTTGTTTGATATCTGCTTCATAACTCTACTGGGGTATTTTGTGCAGGGGTTAAGGGTACTAAGAAATGACTTACACAGAATTGACCTAAAACAGCAATATGCCCTTTAAAAGTTAGAGCAACAGAACATCTTTTCCATATAACCTGTTCTAGGAGGGAGGGGTTAGAGGCCTGGGTTGCAAATAACTTTTAACCTACCTTGTATTGTTTTTCACCATTGCCTACGAAAGTTTTGTTTGTCTTCACTATGGTCGGGACAGTGTTTTCAGTTCCAGGAACGTACGGTGCGGCAAAAGAAAATCGAGAAAAAAATACAATTTATCAGTTGTGTAATATCTCTGTTTCAATAAATTCAGTGAGGGCTTTTATCAATTGAACAACTCTCCACGAGTGGCGTTGCATATGAGATAAAGTAGAGGGTCTCCAATAAGTTTTTCGGGATGCGGGATTTCCCTTATTTGAGGCTCGGGATTCGGGATTTTAAAGCGAAATCGGGGCGAGATTCGGGATTGAAAGTATGCGGGGGAGGTGCGATGCCAAAAGTAACCCTCGGGATTACGGGATTGCCCGAAATTTTGGGTCGGGATTACGGGATAGAAAAACCCTTTTGGGGACCCTCAAAGCATAGCCACTCCTTATTATTCCGGGTGGAAACCAGATATCAATGGAACAGCAATACTTTTGATCTCATATAAGGGGTTTAAATTCCGTCCAGGCGCCTTTCACGCGATTGGTTTCCCAGTGCTCTTTGACTAAAATCATTTTCATGGCATCCTCAAGAACAGGGAACTGTGTTTAGCTTTTTTCTTAAGAAAGTATCAAAGTTCGAATTATTTCCACCAAAAAACGACGTGGGATCGCCCAATTTGTCATCTTGGGTACTGCATAATGACTCAGGCAAAACACCAAGGCTGCTAAGTTAAAACACTGAAATTACATGAAATAATAAGGGTCTAGTTTTAAATACTGTAATCACTTTTTTGAACACCACATTTATGTGACACATAAATGGCCAAACATGGAACTGATAATTGCCTCAATAGGATCACATAACAGAGGTATAAAACACTTTAATGAAAAAAGCAGGACATATTCTTAATTTTATCTTTGTATTAACTTCTACATCGCGCAAGACCATTATTTAAAAAAATAACGTCAGGAAAGATAACGATTGAGCGAGACTGAATTGGTTATTCGTGAGAAGAAGAACTCTGATAGAAGGCCACTTTAATACAAAAATGAATTCTTTTAATGATTGACATCGCGGCCGAGTGATAGAAACCTTTAGCTTTTAACCATATTGGACGTTGTTGCAAGTTATTAAAGTTATGCAGGAATGATTTCCATTTGTATTTTTGCGTTTAAAATGCTGGACAGTCTTGATGTTTTCATCAGCGTACAGATTTAGAGGGTACGTATCAGTTTACAGAGTGTTTATCACACAAACCATCTCCAATCACAAAAAGTACAAATGGTATAAGGCATCTTAATGTCAATCCGATCTGACGGAAAACTCTTGACTATTTTTTAAACTGATCTTTCTCCTACATTGTCTTTTCTCTCTCCAAAGAGTTTGCGGTATCTTTTGAAATTCTTTTTACAAATCGGGTTAAACGGCTAATTATATTTAAAAACGAACTTAAAGTTAAGTTCACCTGCAGGGTGGCGATCAAATGTCAGCAATAAAGTCACAAAATACGTCGTAGCCAACAGGAGCACAATGACTGAAGGTATATTCAAAAAACGACAGCGTACGAAAGCCATGTAAGGATTGAAAAGAACGAAGAACTTCTTCTTTCCGTCTCGATGTCTCAGATGCGGATTATTCTCATCCGTTTTCCAGACTCGTACATCACCTAAAAATACGCTTATGCGCAGTATACATTATAACTCGCGTGCCAGAGAATATCATTTGAGGCATTCCATGGCAACCTATTCTAAGCGGATAGATTCTGTATTGTACTCTGAAATTTGCAAGCGAATTGATCATTTCAGTCGAGGTTCAACCTCAGGATAAAGAAAAGAGTCCACACTGACCTGAGAAGGCTCCTGGTCCACAACTGGGACTGTGAGGGGAGGCCTTAAGGTAATTCCCTTGTTTTGCACTGCGCACCCTCTACTGCGAGAACATGATTTTTTGGGGGAAAATAGTTTCGTATTTGGTGTATTTGGGTCAAGGCGAGGACTTTAAGCTAACCACGGAACTATCCGAAAAAGTGCAATATCCTTACAACCAGGCAATCAAAAACGATTTAAATGAAGCAATACTGCTTATGTGAATAAAAGAAGCTTTATGCTCAAGATAAAAGTAACAAAGAATTAATTCTGTAAGAAGGAGATTCGAATTTTTAACGCGCAACCAGTAAAAATACCCAGTTTAAGAGCCCTGCTGACGCGTAAACAAGCACGGTGACCCCATCTTTTTATTGCATTTTTTTAATGTTCATATCATGAATGCTGATTATGCCAAGATTCAAAAAAAGTTTGATAGTAGAACAATTACAAGGGAATTACCTTAAACAGAGCTGTCCCCTGGGAAGAGAGTAAAAGTTCGATAAAAGTGCCGTTGTGCAGGCAGCAGTAAAATTCATCCAACATTTCCTGCAACATTGTTGTTGGAATTAGTGTTACTCGATTTACCACCTTTGTAAGCATTCTGTCAAGCAACAATAGTTCTTTATTCGGTTGCATGTCTGTTGCACAGACTAAAAGGCGCTTCTACTGTACTTTCTGGGCCAAACTGCTGTAATCAAATTGTTGCTCAACAAGTTGAGCGCGTGGGTAGTAAAATGAGCAACAGATCGCGCAAAAATCGCAGCAAAACTCGCCGCTCTTATCGTAACGACGCGAAAGACTGTGTTTAAGCCCCTTTAAGTGTAAATTTCTAGCCTGGGACCAAGCTCCGCCGATTGTTTTTTTCGCCCACGTCGATTTTTTCTGGCTAATAATTTCTAGCTACAATGGTGATGATAATATTCATTTATTCAAATAACCGCAGGAGCCGCCGCATCACTATGATACTGTGTGCCACAAACCAAAGCTAAGCCCATAATGTATCATCCTCGGAGACCCAGGGGCAGTCAGTCGGGCAGGGTTAAAAGGCGCGACATAAGTTTTCAATCATGGGCGGAAGAGCTTTTCCGCCTGTACTTGAAAACTTTTGTCGCGGCTTTTCTCCCGGCCCGACTGACCGCCCCTGGGTCTCCGAGGATAATAATGTACTTTTTGTAATTATCTAAAATCAAGAGCCCATCAAATTTGATGGGCTCCTGCTAAAATGTAAAAATACATTTTCATTTCTCGCTCAAGGCTTTTCGATTAAAATAAAATCTTGAAATTAAAAGGTGACAATCGTATAGCGTCATTCACGATTGGCCTTTGCCGTGTGTTAACAAACTTTTTAATCAGGAAATTAATCTTCCATAAGGCTAGAAAGAGGCCCTGGGAAATTATAATTAAACATTTCAAAGTCTTCTTCAAAGGCCTTGGCCAGTTCTGCAATCTTCTCTCTGGGAACTGGTGCATATTTTTGGAGCAGTTTATCCGTTGTATTGTGGGTTACAAACTCAGGAAAAATAACCTCTTTATCCATTCCAGTTTTTTTTAGTACGTAAGCAGCTTCTTCCGGCATGTCTTTGAAATGGCCGATAAAATCGTATTCTATGTCACATGGGAAACAAAGTCGTCTGTAAGGTGCCCAATGCTCGTCTCGATTAAATCCAAAATCGTTCAAGAAATAAACAAATCTCTTGAATGTCACATTCCAGCCGGCGCTAGGATCAACGTGACTGAATTTATTATAAATGGCCTTCTCCAACTTCCAAATATAACGCCATGGCCATTGCCGTTTTACAAACTTGTTTTCATACGCTGACAAAAGCCTTTCGAAAGGCTCTCGAACAAAAAGAAACTTATAGTAGGATTGAAGCCTCATTTTAACACCCTCGTCGGAATACTTTTGAAGGAACTTAAAATTACTCTTAGAGTGTTCATCTCTCACCTTGGCTCGGTTTTCAAGATCAAGAAAGACACGCTTCCATTGAGAACAGGCAACCTTGGGAATATAGCAGTAGATAACTTTATACTTGTCGTTAACGATTAAATGACCCAGAAGCTCTCTGGACATAGTCTCGCCTTGTTTGCTCTTTCCAACGTGTCTTCCACAGTAGTCTTTGATATTTTTCTGTCGTTCAATTTGTCTCTGTTCAATTCGCTCCTGGTCCTCAGAGATCTGTTACAGTGGATTGAAAAAAAAAGAGAGAATTAGCAGGCGCAGATCTACACCGGTTTCCACTGTTGTACGAAAATCGGTTGAATTTTTCATAAATAAATATTTTTCTACAAGACTTCGAATAAAAATTTCCCAAGTTGAAATCTGGCCAATATCCTGTCCGAATGACTGTTTGTAAGTCGCTCAAAGACCTTTTTTCTGGCCCAAAATTACAACCAAGGTGCCAAGCAACTTTGATTGAGCTCATAAACTGTTTAAGATTATTCGCCTTTGAATTGTTTCCTCTAAAACACAACTTTATAAGGGCTCAGTCCATAACTAAGTTAACAATAACTATTTATTGCTGTACCTCTACATGACTACGTTTTTATACGTTTTTTTTGTATCCCAGGAATGTCTAATATAATTAACATAAATAAGGCGTTCAAATGACTTTTTAACCGTGATAACAGCATGCAGATTCTTGTATAAATAAATAATTTTTTTCATTCATTTTCTGTCATATCGGTGAGGAGAATTTGTTTTGCAATCGAGTCTCTCCTTGCTTCCGGATCAATTCCCTACATTTGAGACATATCTCTTTTATTAAGCGGTGATATTTTTAAAAATTTTTAAACCTTTAAAATGGATTAGACGGCCTCTAAGTGTCTCTTGTTGATCCCGAGGGCATGAACAAACTATCTCAATCCAAATAATCTCTTAAGAGGCTTAAAAGAGGCCCTGGGAAATCAAAATTAAACATTTCAAAGTCTTCTTCAAAGGCCTTGGCCAGTTCTGCAATCTTCTCTCTGGGAACTGGTGCATATTTTTGGAGCAGTTTATCCGTTGTATTGTGGGTTACAAACTCAGGAAAAATAACCTCTTTATCCATTCCAGTTTTTTTTAGTACGTAAGCAGCTTCTTCCGGCATGTCTTTGAAATGGCCGATAAAATCGTATTCTATGTCACATGGGAAACAAAGTCGTCTGTAAGGTGCCCAATGCTCGTCTCGATTAAATCCAAAATCGTTCAAGAAATAAACAAATCTCTTGAATGTCACATTCCAGCCGGCGCTAGGATCAACTTGACTGAATTTTTCATAAATGTCCCTCTCGAACTTAAAAATATAACGCCATGGCCATTGCCGTTTTACAAACTTGTTTTCATACGCTGACAAAAGCCTCTCGAAGGGCTCCCGAACAAATAGAAACTAATAGTAAGATTGCAGCCTCATTTTGATATCCTCGACGGAATATCCTCTAAGCAAAATGAAATTTTTTTTGATGGTGTTCGTTCTTTTCGTCTTCGTCACTTTGGTTTGGTTTTCAAGTGCAAGAAAAGTACGCTTCCATTGAGTACGGGCAACCTTGGGAATATAGCAGTAGATGACTTTGTATTTGTCATTAACAATTAAATTACTCAGGTCTTTTGGCCTAATCGTCTTTCCTTTGATAGCTGCAGGGTGCTTTGCTCAATCCTCTCATGGACTTCAAATATCTGCTATAGTGGATTGACGAATAGTACCTCTTAGTAAGGGAGTGAAGTGAGCTAGAAACCGGCACATCATCTGAGAAATGATGAACTTACATACACGGTTTTGCTAATTACAGACCCTTATATTGGGTCAATTAATTACTACAAAGAACTACAAGGGAAAACTACATTGATTACTTGAAGAGTTCGCGAGAAAATGCATTTTTTTTTGTAATATTCAAAGGAAAAATAAAAGCCGTCCAAAAGATCTCGGCCATTTTATAGTAGTGTGCTCAGTCTCGGGTGGGGACTCCCACATGAAAGGGACGGGGATGCTCGTCGGAAATTTTGAATTAAACCCCTAAAGGAGACCAATCTGGGCGTGGCCCAACCTTTTTGAGCCTGAAAGCGATCATTTTAAACTTTGATTACATGAATCGAGTAAATAAAACGAATAATTTTTAATATTTCTCGAGTGCAACCTTAAAAGAGACCTTCACGGCTAAATATAATGGTGTTTTGCCCAGAACACCCGAAGCGAGACCAAAATCTGAAATTTACACCCGAGACGACGAGCATCCCCGCCCCTTTCATATGGGAGTCCCCCCCTCCCCGGGGTGCTCAGTGCACTGGCCTTTGAAGACCTTGAATAGAAGCGAGACTAGGGGTAGCCTTGTTTTGTTACAAACCTTCCTGCTCTTCATGTGCAAATCGTGTTATTCATATTTTAACAATGTTATGTTATGTTAACAATGTGTGTTATGTTAACTGTGGATGTCAGGAAAAACCCTCATTAAAAAAAGCCCGTAAACATCATCTCCTCCAGATCCCTTCTCAGTATTGTGTAGTTTGGTAATAATAATTAAGGATCAGTTTTGAAAAGGTACGTTGACTAGCATACGAAACTTCAAGTTTATGTATAAATGCGAAAGGCGCGGTTCAGAATGTTTAACATTACTTGACATCGCTTTTTGTGTTTTATTTTTGATTTAGTAACGATGGCCCAAGAACAAAAGTCGGATCTAGGTTTCTGGGAAACTGCCCACCTACCCCTCCCCTAAGCTAACAATAACACTTACTTCTCACTTTGGGAAAAATTATGGCTTAGGGGAGGGGTAGGTGGGCAGTTTCAAAGAAACCTATTCAGCCTCGCTTCTATTCAAAAGCCAGGGCACTGAGTACGTTACTGTAACATTGCATATTGTAACGCTATAAGATTCCTCCACAGATTTAAGGTGACTAAGTCATGCTATTTGATATCTTTTGTAAAAAGCTAAAACTTTTCTCGTATCAATGCTATTGAAAAAAAATAATGGTCCATTTTTGTTATTCAATAGGCACTGACTGTTTCCTTATTGTCTGTTGCAACGGATGACAACGACCGAAATAGATTGAAACTTGAAAACGCTGGGCCAACCTTTTCAAGTTTCAATGCTCACCAAAAAATATATCACACTTAGTGCTCCCCTATGAAATTTGTTTGATATCTGCTTCATAACTCTACTGGGGTATTTTTTTGCAGGGGTTAAGGGTACTAAGAAATGACTTACACAGAATTGACCTAAAACAGCAATATGCCCTTTAAAAAGTTAGAGCAACAGAACATCTTTTCCATATAACCTGTTCTAGGAGGGAGGGGTTAGAGGCCTGGGTTGCAAATAACTTTTAACCTACCTTGTATTGTTTTTCACCATTGCCTACGAAAGTTTTGTTTGTCTTCACTATGGTCGGGACAGTGTTTTCAGTTCCAGGAACGTACGGTGCGGCAAAAGAAAATCGAGAAAAAAATACAATTTATCAGTTGTGTAATATCTCTGTTTCAATAAATTCAGTGAGGGCTTTTATCAATTGAACAACTCTCCACGAGTGGCGTTGCATATGAGATAAAGCAGAGGGTCTCCAATAAGTTTTTCGGGATGCGGGATTTCCCTTATTTGAGGCTCGGGATTCGGGATTTTAAAGCGAAATCGGGGCGAGATTCGGGATTGAAAGTATGCGGGGGAGGTGCGATGCCAAAAGTAACCCTCGAGATTACGGGATTGCCCGAAATTTTGGGTCGGGATTACGGGATAGAAAAACCCTTTTGGGGACCTTCAAAGCATAGCCACTCCTTATTATTCCGGGTGGAAACCAGATATCAATGGAACAGCAATACTTTTGATCTCATATAACGGGTTTAAATTCCGTCCAGGCGCCTTTCACGCGATTGGTTACCCTGTGCTCTTTGGCTAAAATCATTTTCATGGCATCCTCAAGAACAGGGAACTGTGTTTAGCTTTTTTCTTAAGAAAGTATCAAAGTTCGAATTATTTCCACCAAAAAACGATGTGGGATCGGCCAATTTGTAAAACACTGAAATTACGTGAAATAATAAGGGTCTAGTTTTAAATACTGTAATCACTTTTTTGAACACTACATTTATGTGACTCATAAATGGCCAAATATGGAACTGATAATTGCCTCAATAGGATCACATAACAGAGGTATAAAACACTTTAATGAAAAAAGCAGGACATATTCTTAATTTTATCTTTGTATTAACTTCCACATCGCGCAAGACCATTATTTAAAAAAAATAACGTCAGGAAAGATAACGATTGAGCGAGACTGAATTGGTTATTCGTGAGAAGAAGAACTCTGATAGAAGGCCACTTTAATACAAAAATGAATTCTTTTAACGATTGACATCGCGGCCGAGTGATAGAAACCTTTAGCTTTTAACCATATTGGACGTTGTTGCAAGTTATTAAAGTTATGCCGGAACGATTTCCATTGGTATTTTTGCGTTTAAAATGCTGGACAGTCTTGATGTTTTCATCAGCGTACAGATTTAGAGGGTACGTATCAGTTTACAGAGTGTTTATCACACAAACCATCTCCAATCACAAAAAGTACAAATGGTACAAGGCATCTTAATGTCAATCCGATCTGACGGAAAACTCTTGACTATTTTTTAAACTGATCTTTCTCCTACATTCTCTTTTCTCTCTCCAAAGAGTTTGCGGTATCTTTTGAAATTCTTTTTACAAATCGGGTTAAACGGCTAATTATATTTAAAAACGAACTTAAAGTTAAGTTCACCTGCAGGGTGGCGATCAAATGTCAGCAATAAAGTCACAAAATACGTCGTAGCCAACAGGAGCACAATGACTGAAGGTATATTCAAAAAACGACAGCGTACGAAAGCCATGTAAGGATTGAAAAGAACGAAGAACTTCTTCTTTCCGTCTCGATGTCTCAGATGCGGATTATTCTCATCCGTTTTCCAGACGCGTACATCACCTAAAAATACGCTTATGCGCAGTATACATTATAACTCGCGTGCCAGAGAATATCATTTGAGGCATTCCATGGCAACCTATTCTAAGCGGATAGATTCTGTATTGTACTCTGAAATTTGCAAGCGAATTGATCATTTCAGTCGAGGTTCAACCTCAGGATAAAGAAAAGAGTCCACACTGACCTGAGAAGGCTCCTGGTCCACAACTGGGACTGTGAGGGGAGGCCTTAAGGTAATTCCCTTGTTTTGCACTGCGCACCCTCTACTGCGAGAACATGATTTTTTGGGGGAAAATAGTTTCGTATTTGGTGTATTTGGGTCAAGGCGAGGACTTTAAGCTAACCACGGAACTATCCGAAAAAGTGCAATATCCTTACAACCAGGCAATCAAAAACGATTTAAATGAAGCAATACTGCTTATGTGAATAAAAGAAGCTTTATGCTCAAGATAAAAGTAACAAAGAATTTATTCTGTAAGAAGGAGATTCGAATTTTTAACGCGCAACCAGTAAAAATACCCAGTTTAAGAGCCCTGCTGACGTGTAAACAAGCACGGTGACCCCATCTTTTTACATTGCATTTTTTTAATGTTCATATCATGAATGCTGATTATGCCAAGATTCAAAAAAAGTTTGATAGTAGAACAATTACAAGGGAATTACCTTAAACAGAGCTGTCCCCTGGGAAGGGAGTAAAAGTTCGATAAAAGTGCCGTTGTGCAGGCAGCAGTAAAATTCATCCAACATTTCCTGCAACATTGTTGTTGGAATTAGTGTTACTCGATTTACCACCTTTGTAAGCATTCTGTCAAGCAACAATAGTTCTTTATTCGGTTGCATGTCTGTTGCACAGACTAAAAGGCGCTTCTACTGTACTTTCTGGGCCAAACTGCTGTAATCAAATTGTTGCTCAACAAGTTGAGCGCGTGGGTAGTAAAATGAGCAACAGATCGCGCAAAAATCGCAGCAAAACTCGCCGCTCTTATCGTAACGACGCGAAAGACTGTGTTTAAGCCCCTTTAAGTGTAAATTTCTAGCCTGGGACCAAGCTTCGCCGATTGTTTTTTTTCGCCCACGTCGATTTTTTCTGGCTAATAATTTCTAGCTACAATGGTGATGGTAATATTCATTTATTCAAATAACCGCAGGAGCCGCCGCATCACTATGATACTGTGTGCCACAAACCAAAGCTAAGCCCATAATGTATCATCCTCGGAGACCCAGGGGCAGTCAGTCGGGCAGGGTTAAAAGGCGCGACAAAAGTTTTCAATCATGGGCGGAAGAGCTTTTCCGCCTGTACTTGAAAACTTTTGTCGCGGCTTTTCTCCCGGCCCGACTGACCGCCCCTGGGTCTCCGAGGATGATAATGTACTTTTTGTAATTATCTAAAATCAGGAGCCCATCAAATTTGATGGGCTCCTGCTAAAATGTAAAAATACATTTTCATTTCTCGTTCAAGGCTTTTCGATTAAAATAAAATCTTGAAATTAAAAGGTGACAATCGTATAGCGTCATTCACGATTGGCCCTTGCCGTGTGTTAACAAACTTTTTAATCAGGCAATTAATCTTCCATAAGGCTAGAAAGAGGCCCTGGGAAATTATAATTAAACATTCCAAAGTCTTCCTTAAATGTATGTCCTAGCTCTACAATCTTCTCTCTGGGACTTGGTGCATATTTTTGGAGCAGTTTATCCGTTGTATTGTGGGTTACAAACTCAGGAAAGATAACCTCTTTATCCACTCCAGTTTTTTTTAGTACGTAAGCAGCTTCTTCCGGCATGTCTTTAAAATGGCCGATAAAATCGTATTCTATGTCACATGGGAAACAAAGTCGTCCGTAAGGTGCCCAATGCTCGTCTAGATTAAATCCAAATACGTTTTTTGTATATCCCAGGAATGTCTAATATAATTAACATAAATAAGACGTTAAAATGACTTTTTAACCGTGATAACAGCATACAGATTCTTATATAAATAAATCATTTTCTTCATTCATTTTCTGTCATATCGGTGAGGAGAATTTGTTTTGCAATCGAGTCTCTCCTTGCTTCCGGATCAATTCCCTACATTTGAGACATATCTCTTTTATTAAGCAGTGATATTTTTAAACCTTTAAAATGGATTAGACGGCCTCTAAGTGTCTCTTGTTGATCCCGAAGGCATCTAAACAAACTATCTCAATCCAAATAATCTCTTAAGAGGCTTAAAAGAGGCCCTGGGAAATCAAAATTAAACATTTCAAAGTCTTCTTCAAAGGCCTTGGCCAGTTCTGTAATCTTCTCTCTGGGAACTGGTGCATATTTTTGGAGCAGTTTATCCGTTGTATTGTGGGTTACAAACTCAGGAAAAATAACCTCTTTATCCATTCCAGTTTTTTTTAGTACGTAAGCAGCTTCTTCCGGCATGTCTTTGAAATGGCCGATAAAATCGTATTCTATGTCACATGGGAAACAAAGTCGTCTGTAAGGTGCCCAATGCTCGTCTCGATTAAATCCAAAATCGTTCAAGAAATAAACAAATCTCTTGAATGTCACATTCCAGCCGGCGCTAGGATCAACGTCACTGAATTTATTATAAATGGCCTTCTCCAACTTCCAAATATAACGCCATGGCCATTGCCGTTTTACAAACTTGTTTTCATACGCTGACAAAAGCCTCTCGAAAGGCTCTCGAACAAAAAGAAACTTATAGTAGGATTGAAGCCTCATTTTAACACCCTCGTCGGAATACTTTTGAAGGAACTTAAAATTACTCTTAGAGTGTACATCTCTCACGTTGGCTCGGTTTTCAAGATCAAGAAAGACACGCTTCCATTGAGAACAGGCAACCTTGGGAATATAGCAGTAGATAACTTTATACTTGTCGTTAACGATTAAATGACCCAGAAGTTCTCTGGACACAGTCTCGCCTTGTTTGCTGTTTCCAACGCGTCTTCCACAGTAGTCTTTGAGATTTTTCTGTCGTTCAATTTGTCTCTGTTCAATTCGCTCCTGGTCCTCAGAGATCTGTTACAGTGGATTGAAAAAAAAAAGAGAGAATTAGCAGGCGCAGATCTACACCGGTTTCCACTGTTTTACGAAAATCGGTTGAATTTTTCATAAATAAATATTTTTCTACAAGACTTCGAATAAAAATTTCCCAAGTTGAAATCTGGCCAATATCCTGTCTGAATGACCCAGAAAATGAGATGAGAGATAGGATACTCGGCTTATCTCAATGGCCTGATTTGTTTTTCTTCTCATTCATCTGCGAGGATAGCCTATGTACATCCGTTTCTTCGCCACATACAAAAATTCGTGGAAAGACACTCTCTCCCCCATTTTTCTTTTATACTACTTATAAAGGGCTAGAGCTAAAACGTTTCACGGAACATTGAACACGACAATTTGGCACTTTTTTGAACAACCGGGTTTTTAGAAAGTGCTACTGACACCGGTCTAAAAGTTTACAATTCCAATTATTTATCACAAATAGACTCGCGGCATCATAGTAAGTACCAAAAGTCGGGTCTGATGTCCTTTCCCCATGCTGTCGCGTTTTCATTTTTCGTTCTGCTCCCTCTTTGGAGGCAGAGAGGCCTTTGCTTAATCTGCCTCTAGTTAAAGTAATGCTGCGAGTAGAATGGCAAACACTCAATATGGGAAGGGAAACAACAGTTTGGGGTGTAACTACTTTTCAAAATACTGTACAGGGTAACCTTTTCATTGTTCTGTTCATTTTTGTTACTGAAGAGTGAACTACGAAAACAGCAATATAATGTAACACTTTTTGACTGCAATCATTTGGCATACGTAATAGTTCTTTGGCAAATGCAACAATTTATGTGTTACTATACACTCTGTTTTTCCTTTGTTTTATTTTGAATTTAACGGCAATTTCCAAGTACAAGCCCCCGGGGCTTGAGTTTGCGGGGCTTATGCAAGGAGAGGGTTATTTTTTGAATTTTACGGTATTTGGTATTCAAAATCTTAAGTCATTTCAAGATTTGTAATGGAGAATCTTGAAATTTTTTAGAATGTCAAATATTAAAATTTCAATATTCTGTACGTAAAATCTCGAAATCTCAAAATTCTGAATGCCAAATATTAAAATGTCATGATTTGGTAGCTAACCAATGACTAATCATAACTCGCCGTAATGATTTTAATATAATTCTGTAAATAACTCACTATCATTTGTTACCTTTGAAACCCCAACTTACCTTGTCTTGTTTTTCAGCATATTCTACGGCAGGTTTGATTGTCTTGACTATTAAGGTGAATTGCACGTCAAGTGTGACAAAAGATTACCGGAAAAAAATAAAATAAAATTCGTCCATGCAATCAGTTGTCTAATAAATATGTTAACTTGAGACTTTTTTGTTATAAATTTATTTTGTGTACATTATCAATTTTTCACCAACGCTTGTTGAACACGACAGAGGTGAAAACGCGTAGCCGTGTTCCTCAATGATGGAGAGTCATTACAATATGGAGAAGAATATGGAAAGCCTTTTAACTTATATCCTCCTCTCCACACCAAAACTTATTAAAATCATAGTTGACTTTGTCAAACGTTTGTTACAAGTATTCTTCTGAAGCTATTTGTTCATTTTCAAATGGAAGGAGGATTTCTTTTTGCGTTGAAAGGGTTTCTAAAATCCCTTAAAACGCACACGGAAAATATTAGCCCGCGTGGCAGGCGTTCGAACAAATAACATAACATAACATAAACTTTAATTATACTCGAATTTTAGAGTAGCTAACAAGCTAATATCTTCGAGCTGACACTACATCAGTAAAAATAATATAGAAATATGTATATATATATACATTAAATGCATTATAAGTAATAATAATAAAATAATATTAATAATAATAAGCACATAGAAAAAAAGAAAAGAAAATATTAATTACAATTTACAATTTTAAGTTTAAGTATGTCAAGAAAAAGAATCTACATGAAGGTAACATCCTGTATTTTGGTCTTAAAGTCTGCAAAAAAACTGGTACGAAAAAAGCCCGGCGATGCATTCCACTGCTTAGCAGAAAAGTAAGAAAAGGAGTTAAGACCGTAGGTAGTTGTTTTAGGTTTACTTAGTGAAAGAATGTAGTTGCCACGAAGATCATATGAAGAGGACCAGAGTGAAAACATATTCTTCATATAAGCTGGAAAATGAGTGAAAAACAAACTCTTATATAACAGTATGAGGAAATTTTGAACGCGTTTGTCCCACCACCAAGTAGAGTTGACTTTTGAGAAAAGAGTGTTGTATGGAGGCGAGTAATCTCCAAGTATAAATCTAAGTATTCTTTTATTTAAAGCTTCAAGCTTATCCGCATCGCGCACTCCACCAAAGTGCCAGACAGAGGAGCAATAATAAAAATGAGGTAGAATATACGCTTTGTAAAGATATCCCTGCGTATGCGTTTTCGAAAGGACGACACAACATTAAATTGGCTATTAATCCGGTTTTGCATACATTTGATACACGTTTAGCAAAATTCAGTTTATTATCTATTTCCATCCCAAAAATCTCTAACGTGTCCTTTACTGGGAAGGAAAAACCATACTCCGTATCACCGAGGATTAGACACTGGTGCTTGCTCTCATTAACTATCATCCCATTTTCATGGTATCTCATGATGTTGGCGTGGCCAATTAGTGGTACGCATGCTTCCAGAGCTGCCGGATCGACGTGGGAGTAGTACACCTGATGATCATCCGCATAAGCGTTCAACTTGGCCTTCTTGACGTGGAAGAAAAGATCGTTTATGAAAATGTTGAATAGCATAGGACCCAGGACACTCCCCTGTGGGACCCCACGCTTGACCCTTTCCCAGGTCGAAAAGGTGTCTCCAACTTTAATTCTCTGAGTTCTGTCAGAGGTATAGTTCCTAATTAGGGCACAACGTTTGTCGTCCACACCATAGGCCCTCAGTCTCGAAAGGAGGAGTGGATACTGAATAACATCAAACGCCTTAGAGAGATCCATAGAAACTACCGCAACGAGCTCCCCCCTGTCACGCATCATCCTCCCGTCCTCTGTCAACCTTAGCAAAGAGGTCTCGCAACTATAAAACTTTCTATAAGCGCTTAAGAAGTCTGATAAGAGTCCATTGTAAAATTCATACATCTGCCCCGACAGAAGCCTTTCAAAAATATCGTTTAGAGCAGGGAGCACAGTTACGGGCCTATAGTTGGTCTTACAAAACTCGTCGTCTCTGTCACCATGCCCATCTTCCAGCTAGCAGGATAACAGCAATGTTCAAAACAACAGTTAATTATACTTGTCATAGGCCGCGCAATAACAGCTGCCGCTTCTTTAATCAACTTTGGTGGGATCATATCGTGACCAGGTGACTTGCGTACATTGATCTCTTTTAGTAATAGCTCAACCTGGGTTTCACTTGTGCGATGAAAACTGAAGCAAGCTGGAGCACTAGAGCCCCTGTGTTCGTGGATTGCTTTGATGCTGAGATGATTATATAGCATAATCCTCACCGTAATCCTCTACTCGTATTTCATGCATGCTATCAGCAATGTGAACAAAGTAGTCATTAAGCAGATCATTGGCAATTTCCTTTTTGTCATTAATAATCCTGTCATTTTCTTTCAAGATAATGTCATTGGCTTGCTTACTTTTAGTATGCAAAAAGGGGCGGAAAGTAGACCAGAAAGTAGACCAGAATTGTTTTATTGCTTTTCGCCTAAGGGAGGTGCAGTTATTACGCTGAGTTTTGTATGCCTCCTAATTTGCATCCGTACGATTACGCGTGAATTTTTTCCACAGTTTGTTGCGATGCCTGATCGCCCTCCTCCATTGTTCCGTCATATCGGGCACTTGATTACCACGTTACATTGTTTTTACATTGTTTTCTTGATAGCGGCGAACGCTTAGAAACAATTGCTCAAAAGCATAAAGCTTATCATCAAGTTCATCAATCAAATCAATTATGTGGAAAGGTACAATTTGCATATCATGCACAAAGTTCTCTCGACTGAAGTTTTTCAGACAATGAAAACAAATATTGCGAGATCGAGTCCTTGGTACCGATAATCGGAGGATAGTATAAACTAACGAATGATCACTAAGTTGCGTGTCTACCACGCCTGATGTTAAGACCATTTTCTTGTCATTCGTCAGGATTAAGTTCAGCAGTGTTTCTGTTGTTTTTGAGTTGGTTCCGTAATCAGACAATCAAGATTAAAAATAAGGGAAGAGGAGGGGAATTAGGGCGCGAGACCACAAAAACTCCCTTTCCCTTCCCTTTCAAACGCCTGCCACGGAAGCTAGGAAAATATAGGCCAAAGTTTTCTGTTGTTTCTCCCTTATAACGGTGATTGAAATACATGGCTCTTCAGGGGGCACCCAACGATTGTTTTATCGCACCGCCTAGAATGCATTTCGAGAGATCTAAAAGTCCACTCTTTTCTTTTTATAAGAATGTTGTTTAGGAGGAAACCGTCATTGGTTACCCCTAGTTCTAAGTGTTCTTTTCAGTATATTCAATCTGACGAAAAATATGCTTCACTAACGTTTAATTTTAAGCTGTTCATCATTAGCATTTACCAATAATCAGAGTCATTTTTATTATTTTCATGTAATATTCTTTGCCGTTTTCACATGACGTCACCAAAAGTCAAACTAAGAAACTACCGCTTCTTCTGAGTTTCTACTTTCATGTGATATTAGAGCACCTTAAAACCTTTATACAAACAAATTTTCGGTTCAAAAGCGTTCTTTGTTTTGCGATACAGCACACTTGAATTTCCAGGCTTTTGCATGGAGCGGAATTTAGCTGACGGCCGGGAAAGCTCTTTTGTGGGTTAAAAACATTACGGATTTTTGGAGATTTTGCTATCTAAACATTCCTTGTCTTAGAATAAATATTGCTTTAATCTTTACGACTTCCTCAAGCGAAGAATTCACTCATAAGTAGGAAAACTCAACAACAGATGTTTCTGTTGGTTTTCGGCGGCCATATTTGTGCCCCTGAAAGGGACACAAACATGGCGTCTCCATACAAAGCTTTATAAATTTGGGTAAAACGTTTTTCCCAATATCTCGCATATGAACCATTGCATAGACCTGATTCTAGGCAAGGCTTTTTGTATATTTATCTTCTTTCATTTCCCAGATTCTAGACTTTCTGTATTTAAAGGTTTCCATTTTTATTTCTGCTTTCCCACGTGAGTGAAAACCGAGATTTTTATGTACTATTTCTTATGTGAAGAGGTTGCTTTGCGCTGAAGGAGCCTTTTCTCAGATTTAGTTATTAAATAAATACATTTATTACATAAACACCAATGAAATACCAGGTGAGCTTTCGCGCGAAAACCTGAAATCTTCACATGTGAAAATATCACCGTTGCTGTGGCTCGTGTTGAAAAAATATTTCACGAGTGAGCGCAGCTAACGAGTGAAATATTTTTCATCACTCGAAGAGAAATTTTGTATCTCCGCGCGGCCATGTAATGTCTCTATTTATTTTAACATGTACAAACCATACTTCACCTGCGTTCCACTCATTCGTCAGCAATAAAGTTATCGTTACCAACAGAAGCAAAATTGCTCGAGATATTTCCACCTTTCGAATGCGTAGAACAGCCCTGTAAGGATTGAAAGGGAAAGGCATCTTTCTGTTTCTGTGACACGACCTCTGGCTCCCAACATGTATGAATATTATTAAAGTTTGCAGATAAGTGTGGTCCTGCAATGAAACAGAAATGTCGCAATAAAGGATCAATGATTACTCCTGAAGCCTGAACTCCTGTGATTATTAATATGCAGATGACCTAGGTCGATGACCTACGTACATAAGCACTCTATTTGATAAGCCTGCAGCAATTAAGGTGGTTTTCACGTTACGTCATCGCCGCCATGCTGGTGGACGGTAAACAAAAGATTGCTCATTAGCTCGCTTTGTTTGTCTACCAGCATTTGTTCATTTCACCATTGTTATTTGTGTCTCCCGAGACTGCATAAAAACTATACCGTTGTAGTTATGTCCTATCTTGTGAACATGTCCTCAGACGTAATCTGATATGCAAGCCAATCAGGTCATGCAATCTATCGTGGTAGTCGCGGCATAGGACTGGAAAAGAATCTCCGTTGCAGTTTGGTCTTCCAGCAAAATTTGCAATTCTAGCGGGTCGGGGAAGGTAGTAAAATTTGTCTTGCAAGGTTAAGTAAACACAACTGCAACGCTACATCTAGCCTGCGAGCAAGCTCTCTGGGGAGCTCTTGGGTGGGCCCTGTGCAAAGGATACACCCGTGAGACGACGATAACAAGAAAACGTCACTACGAGTAGATTTATACTCATGTTAAGCGTGAAGACTCCCCAGTAGAAAGGAGAAGCCGTTACGTCACGTTACCATGGTAGCAAAATCTGGATCGGACAAATGAACAGAAAGCGTGAATTCGCACTCAGTTTTTCAAACTTTATTGATCTTGTTCAACTTCATTTAATTTGCCAAATGTTAGCGAAATTTTCTGGCGTTGAATCGAACAGAACCGTATCTGAGTTAAGAAAGAAAAGGAACATTACTGTGTTGTGTTCACTTACTTCATAAAACAGGCCCGTGATCAGGACATTTCATGTCGCCGTCGAGCAATGGCAGCTACAATACGCGTGATGAACGTGCAAAGTTACCTTATTACAGAAAATTAACGCTCCGTAAAATTAAGGTGTTAGAAATTAACGCGGCGTAGTGTAGTGTTAGTCATTGTCTTAGTCTGAAAAACAGCCGAAGATATCACGTTAACCGTTGCCAAAACGAACAGACTAAAAAGAATAGTATTTTTTACAGTAATGTATATCAGACGATTTTATTAGGTGATTTTTTTTTCCACATTACATTGTAGAGTTTAAGCAAGATTATTTGTTGTCATTTTTAAAGGTTTATCCGCTTCACCTCTAGATAAACTATTTAGAGAGTCTGTCTACTTAATTGAATGTTCTCCCTTATTCCCATATGGCTTAGTATGTCAAAAGGTCCCATGCACAAGCAAGTCAATTTCAGGTAACTTGCGTGCGTAGCGGGAGCCCCAGTCTCCATTCGGGTGGGGAGTACCGCGGGCGCATCGAAACACCCACGGCTGGAGACTGAGCCTAGCGTAACAGACACTTGTGAGTAACATGGGCGCAAGAAACAAAAGGGCGCGCGACATGAGAGGGAGCCTGTTCCCCTCTGAGAGCCCCGTTCTCTCTTGCGCCCATATTATTTATGCGCGCCTGGTAAACAGGCTAAATTTCAGGCGAATGTAATACCTGCCCGTTAACACTATTCCGACCAAGGCCTCTAATTTAAAAATCGGAATTACTTTCCTCGTAGATGTGCATTTGCTATAGATACTGACTTTTTAATCGTGCATGAGATCGGATAGAGGCCCTGGAAAATCGTAATTAAACAGTTCAAAGTCTTCTTCTTCAAAGGCCTTACCCAGCTGAGCGATCTTCTCCTTGGGTATCGGGGCATAGCTTTTAAGAAGTTGACTTCTAGTATTGTGGGTAAGAAACGGGGGAAAGGTCACCACCCGATCTATTCCTGTTTGCCGTAGGATATAAGGTGCTTCTTCTGTCATGTCCTCAAAATGACCGATGAAATCGTACTCTATATCACACGGGTGACAAATTGGGCCGTACGATCGCCAGTGTGCATCTCGATCAAACCCAACATCACTCACATAATAAATGAACTTCTTAAAAGTAAGATCCTGGTCAGAACTGTTAGAGCCAGGTTCATCTTGTTTGTATCTTTCCAAAATTTTTGTTTTATAACTTTCAATCATTTTCCAAGGCCATTGCTTGTTTACAAACTTGTTATTGTAGGCTGACAAAAGCCTCTCGAGTGGTTCGCGAACAAAAAGAAACTTAAAGTAAGATTTTAGCCTCACTTTAATATCCTCGTCCGAATAATCATATAAGAGAAATTTATAATGTTTGTTATCATGCACATCATCCACATCGATGCAGTTATCAAGAGCAAGAAAGACACGTTTCCATTGACTGCAGGCCACCTTGGGAATATAGCAGAAGATTACTTTGTACTCATCGTTAACAATGACAGGATGATGGTATCGATCGCTTCGATTTCTGCTTGAAGCGTGCTTCTCACAGTAGTCTCTAAGTCGCTGCTGTCGCTCAGTTTGTCTCTGTTCAATCCGCTCCAAAAGGTGACCATCCTTCTCTATCTGAAAAGTGGATTTACAAACGTGAGAGCTTTAGCTAGAAGGTGCGATTAGAAATCAGGACAATCAGGATTAGCTTAGTCGGTAGGGGCGCTTAAACCGTGTAAACAAACTTTCGGGCAAGTAGTGTCCCTAATTAGTACTTTAAATACAACATTGACAATCAAATAGAGCGGTTTTCACTTGACTGTCGAAAGTAATTGAGGAATTGGTTTGGTTTTGGTTTTACTACGCCCTTTGGTTGGCTAGTGTATTTACTTTGGTTTTGGTTTTACGACAGTCAAGTGAAAACCGCTCTAAAGTGCATTTTTTTACACATACAGGCTGAACAGGGCATGAAACAAACAAACAAAGTCGGATTGGGAAACTACCCACCTACCCCTCCCCTAAGCCAGCGTTTTGCCCTAAGTGAGAAGTAAGTGTTAATGTTGGCTTAGGGGAGGGGTAAGTGGGTATGGCGCGCCGTTTGTTTCGAAATTATTTTTTTCATTGGTTATAAATTTTTAATCTTTTTCTGTTCTGAATCATGGATATAAGCGCTGAAAATCGGAAAGAAGGACTGATGATCCTTTCATTATTGCTTTTTCGTCGTCATTATTAAGAACAATCTTTTAATAGTTTACTATGAACTCCAATCAATCACTTTTGCAGATCGGGTTTACCGACCAGTTATCGATCAATTAAAATATTACTATATTGTGCTAATTTTCTACCAGATACGTAATATCGATCAGCCGGCATAAGTTTTCATATCATCAATCGGTAATCCGTCGTGTTTAAATGGATGTATATGATCCGTAATCAACCATGGTAAGCTGTCTCAAATTTCGATCAGTTTTGCTAATAATCAATCAGTTTATTATCTAACAGTTATCGGGTACTATACTATTGATCAGCGTAAACTCGGCTTGTACAGTCTACCAGTTGTGCGTATTTTCATTCAGTTGTGACTAAAATCGATCAGTTGTTGTATTATCGATCAGTTGTGCGTATTTTCATTCAGTTGCCACTAAAATCGATCAATTGTGTGTATTTTAACTTCTATCATTTTAGCCCAGAATTCTCGACCTACTCAAGACATTCTTAGAAGAAAACTAGAAAACTGAATAGCTTTAGTTTCGCGCACTTTTTAAATTTCCGATCAATCTTTCACAATTTCATTACTGTAACAACATTTCATCTTAATGGTCGCTGCGAGCAGTGGTTTCTCCAGCGTCCGGCCTGGAGAAACCACTGCTAGCAGGGTACTGTGAGAAGAATATTACTCTCAATATCTGCTTCCTGGATTTCCATCAAATTTATCTTTCTTTAAGATCTTGTTTACTGTAGGTAGTGTCGATCGATTTATCGGTCGATATAGTGGTTGATAGTCGGCGGTCGATAGTCAGTCGATAGTCGGTCGATAGTCAGTCGATAGTCGGTCGATAGTCAGTCGATAGTCGGTCGATAGTCAGTGGACAGTCGGTCGATAGTCAGTCGATCGTGGGATAGACTATCGGCCGAGTATCGGTCGATATTTCGACGACGCACCCCGACCGACTATCGGTCATATATCGGTGACATATCGGTCAACTGTCGGTGGTATATCGGTCAACTGTCGGTCGAATATCAGTCGTTAGTTAATTTAGCAGGTAGGTCCAATGGCTTTCTTTTTAAGCAATGATATCGTTAATTACTGTTATCTTGCGATGGAGGAACATGTGGCAGTGCGAGGCGCAATTACTCTATGAAGCGAACCGAAGGGCACTGGAAACTAGGGACATGGTAACCTTTTCTTTGCCCGTTTGTATCATCACCGATCGTCTGATTTTTGGCTGTTAAACAGAACCTGTCAGAAGTCTCGCAAACAAAACGATCGTTAGAGAGGATAAAATCGTGACAGATAAATATTAGCCTGCGTAGCAAGCGTGTCCGTTACGGAATTTTCGCAGGCCTGTTCCCAGTCGTCCTCGGTACTCGGTCCTCTTGTCAGAATTGATATTTGCCAGCGGTGATGACTCAACAAGGACTCTTGTCAAGGAAACACCAAGGGTGCGGCAGGCCAAGGATTTGTGGAAATTTGACGTCCGCTGGCCGATTTCATTGTCCGCACTATTGGTGAAAAAATGCAATTAAAATGAGGCTTTATTTTAACTCGATAATAATCTTTATTTTTCATCTTTGTTGTCCCTGTAACTGACTTCATTATATGGTTGAGTCTGTTTTCGCCATGCTATTGGTCAATTTGCGGTCCGTAACTTGCTATACGGACCAAAACGTTTAAAAAAAGTGCTCATTTTGGAGGTCAAAATCTCTTTACCGTGGAAAAAATGTTTAAATAAAGTTATAAGACGCCTGTCAACCTTGAGGACTTGGATGTTGACTTTGGCCTTCAACATTTTAAACTGTGTTTATTTGTGAACGAAGGCGATGAAGAAACTAACTCGTAATCTTATCGAAGAGGATTCTAGTCAGTGTTTGAAAATTTTATCGTGGTACACAGTTAAGAATACGAAAATCGACTGGCAGAGATTCGAGACGTTTTGCCTTGGAGAAAATGAGTAATCCCTTCAACAAATATGATAAGAAACATACCTGCACCCGATCATCTTGACAAGCGTCTTTGCCATTTGCAGTGCTTTTTCAAAGACCAACGAAAGAATGATAGAAGCGAGTTCGAGCCAGACACAATAATGTCCAGTTTTCAAAAGACTCCAGCGTCATTAACGAGTGAATACTTACAGTGCTCGTAGTTTCCACCGAATAAACTTTGAAATATGTATGTAAACCCTGAGGACTGAGATGTTGACTTTACGTTCCAAATTTTAACCTAGCTTTGTTTTAATGAGAACGAAGCTGTTGTAGAAACTGAATCGTAACCTTACCGAGGAAGAGAATTCTAGTCAGTGTTTGAAAATTTTAACGCAGATCACCATTGAAGACGAGAATGAACAGGCAGAAAGACAAAAAGCAATTAAAGGAGCTATGTCACACACTGCGCATGTGCGCGATGAAGCGTTACATCTTGAAAACGTTCGCCAACTTTTTCAAGTTCTGCGGGTGATTCAATATCAGGAGTTTATCGTTATTTATCGCAGCCATCCGTTAACAGTTCGCATAGTTAAACGTTAGTTACTATTGTACAGCCCTTTTAGAAGGTTCCTGTGTGTTTTTGTTTCAATGACTCTGATCAACGGCTTATTTGAGGTCAACTGTTTGGAGGTAACAAATGTCCTCTCATGGCGGTCGCCGATCAGGAAGCGGCCGCAAGAAAATCTTCGCTAGCAACTCAGCGAGGCTTCAGTTCTGGCGTAAGACTCGTAAAAGGATTTCGTTGGATGGAACACTTTTCTAATCTTGGGTTTCTACGAGGATCAAGTGCGGATACGACAACGATTCCATGTTTGCTGCCCATCTTCTATCGCTCGAGACAAGAAGAAGGTAAATGCATAAAATGTCTGTTCAATCTGTTTGCTGGCGGTCTTATTTTGAGTTAATCAGTTGTTTTGAATGTATGTATCTATTTTCTTTTACAGGGATAGTGCATCTACCGTTTGTAAAAAAGGACAGAGAGAGGCATCATCCACAAACCAGTTCCTTCCTCAAAACGAAGCCACATTGAAGGTGAGACTGCAACTGTACTTGATTCTAGATTGAATAAATGTCTTCACATTACTATTATTTTGCGGCCCTCCAGAAAATTATCCTGGAACCAAAGCTTCTTAACAGTTTTAAATATTATGTGCGATTCAGGTAAAATACCAAACCTTGGTAATGATTGTTTTTGCTGAGAAATTATTAGTTATTGAGACAACATTCTTGCCAATAAATGTGACACTGGCTGAGAGGCAACCCTTATGTCTAATCTTTGGCTCTCAAGATGTGGGAGCTTATTTAATTAGGATATTACTACCAACTAAATAAAACCAGTTCTTGGCATGTTGATATTCAATTTTTTTTTTAATTTTAATTTTTAATATTTTTAATTTTTAATTTTTAATATATTCATTGATTGATAAATTTTTTGATTGATTCATTTATTGATCAATTTTTAATTAAGCATTGACCAGAATCATCCAAGATAATGCACATCCTTCGACAATGACAACAAACTTACCTTGAAAAGCTTCTTTGCCTTTTGCAGTGTTTTTTCACAAGGACAAACGGGGGAAAGATGGAAACGACTTCTAGACAGACACAGTGTGCGATTTTCAAAATACTCCAGCGTTACACTAAAGAGCTAAAACTTACAGTGCTCTTAGTTTTGACCGAATAAACTTTTTTAACATGGTGAATTTGTTTTTACTTTCTCGGAAAGCCTTTGTTATGTGATATTGTTTTCGTGCGCCAATAAAAACTTTCTTTTTTGACACCTGTCAAATGACTGTCAAATCGTGCGTCCTACACTTGTTTCCGGTCCCCTAAACAGGAAGAAGCCATATAATAAACATCTTATTAGCCTCGTTTTTTGGGTCCGTACTGTAAATTACGGATCCTCGTTTTTTTCCATCGATTTATGGCCCACGCGCTTCGCTAATAAGGCTAATAAGAGGTATTTACTTCCTCCATAGATGTTGAAGTGGTCAGGACCTTGCCCGAAGTAGATAAAACTGCAGGCATTGCTGAAAAAGAACTCAAGGTAGGTTAAATCACGTCGTATTATTACAGGTGTTAATAGTATATGAGAATGATGTTTATCTAGCCTGCATAGCAAAGGCGTTTCTGTGCGGTTTCGCGCGGCCTAAACCGAAAATTCCGTAACGGAAACGCTTGCTACGCAGGTAAATATTTATCTGTCACGATTTTATCCTCTCTAAGAATCGTTTTGTTAGCGAGATCGTTTAATGTCTTTTAAATGGATTCGTGTCGACAAAGTCTTAGCTATACTAAAGAATTAAGCCATGGTAAAGGTAGTACGGACCGGCTGGAGTTGTAGGTAGAAGACTTTGTGGATCATTTTACGTTTCTGGGAAACTGCCCACCTACCCCTCCCCTAGGCCAACATTAACACTTACTTCTCACTTAAGGCAAAATATTGGTTTAGGGGAGGGGTAGGTGGAACGTTTCCCAGAAACGTAAAATGATCCGACTTAGTTTGCTTGTTTCATGCCCTGTTCAGCCTGTGTGGGTAAAAAAGTGCACTTTATGTCAATGTTGTATTTAAAGCACTAATTGGTATTCAAAATCTTGAGACATTTCAAGATTTGTAATGGAGAATCTTGAATTTTTTTTAGAATGTCAAAACTTAAAATTTCAATATTCTGTACGTAAAATTTCGAAATGTCAATATATTCTGAATGCCAAATATTAAAATTTCATGATTTGGTAGCTAACCAATGACTAATTATAACTCACCGTAATGATATTAATATAATTCTGTAAATAACTCACCATGTTGCCTTTGAAACCCCAACTTACCTTGTCTTGTTTTTCAGCATATCCTACGGCAGGTTTGGTTGTCTTGACTAAGGTGAATTGCACGTCAAGTGTGATAAAAGATTACCGGAAAAAAAAAATAAAATCCGTCCATGCAATCAGTTGTCTAATAAATGTGTTAACTTGAGACTTTTTTGTTCTAAATTTATTTTGTGTACATTACCAATTTTTCACGAACTCGTGTTGAACATGACAGATATGAAAACGATTAGCCGTGTTCCCCAATGATGGAGAGTCATTACAATACGGAGAAGAATATGGAAAGCCTTTTAATTGATATCCTCTTCTGAAGCTATTTGTTCATTTTCAAATGCAAGTAGGATTTTTTTTGCGTTGGAAGGGTTTCTGAAATCCCTTAAAACGCACACGGAAAATATAGACCAAAGTTTTCTGTTGTTTTTCCCTTATCATGATGATTGAAATACATGGCTCTATAGGAGGCACCCAACGATTGTTTTCTGTAAAATATCTGTTCGAAGAAGCAAAAATTGCCTAGAATTTTCTAGAGCTTGGCGATGGGGAGAGGAATCAGAAAATGCTCGCTTTCGTAAAACTACAAATTTCATCTAAAATTTTCGGGAAAATAATACTGAAGACCTTGTAGTTTGGAAAAGATCACCGAACAAATTCACTGAATTTTATAGCGCCGCTTAGAATGCATTTGTAGAGATCTAAAAGTACTCTGGATAGTCTAAAAAGTATTCTCAATGGACTTGTTTAGGAGAAAACCGTCGTTGGTTGCCCCTGGTTCTAAGTGTTCTTTTCTGTATATTCAATCTGACGAAAAATATGCTTTACTCACTTTTTACTTTTAGACTGCTCATCATCAGCACTTACCAATAATCAGAGTCATTTTTATTATTTTTATGAACTATTTCTTATGTGGAGAGGTTGCTTTACGCTGAAGGAGACTTTTCTCAGATTTAGTTATTAAACAAATACATGTATTTTAACATGTACAAGCCATACTTCACCTGGGTTCCACTCATTCGTCAGCAATAAAGTTATCAAATAAACCGTTACCAACAGAAGCAAAATTACTCCAAGTATTTTCACCTTTCGAATGTGTAGGACAGCCGTGGAAGGATTGAAAGGACGAGACATCTTTTTGTTTCTACGACACGACTTCTGGCTCCTAACATGTATGAATATTATTAAATATGCATGCATACGACCTACTTGTATTCTGGGTAGAACGTATTTCGTAGAGCACTCAATTCATTTAATTGAAGAGCATTGACTATTAATAATCACAGGAGTTCAGGCTTCAGGAGTAATCATTGATCGTGCAGATGACCTACGTGCATTAGCATTCTATTTGGTAAGCCTGCAGCAATTAAGTATAAATTGCGCAATCATGACTTCGCTATACCTCTCTCCTCTGCACAGGCCTCTTTGAGTTGTTGGGAGACTGGGGAGAAAGAAAAACGCGGAATCGTCCCCCGCGCGCTTTCTATTTTTTGGATACCCAGTGGGAGCATCTGCGAAGAGGAGAGTCGCTATACCAAGATTTAACACAGTCTCCTTTGGAAAGCACTCGCTCATGTATATGGGCCCAAAGGTATGGAGCTCTGTTCCTTGTAACGTGAAAGAAGCTTCCATTCCATAAACTTTCTGTTTTTTCTTTTTTTAATTAACTAATTTATTCATTCATTCTTTTTAATTTTTTTTTAGTTTCCCCCCTTGGTGGCTCTTCACCGCTATTACAGATTGATACTTAAACAAAGGTATCATTATCATCATCATCATCATCTAACGATTTCCCAGATGGGATGTACGTATCTAGCTGTACCGTTGTAGTTATGTCCTATCTTCTGAACATGTCGTCTGACGTAATGTGATATGGAAGCCAATCAGGTTATGCAATGTATCGTGATAGTCGCGGCATAGGACTGGAAAAGAATCTCCGTTGCAGTTTGGTCTTCGAGCAAAATTTGCAATTCTAGCGGGTCGGGGAAGGTAGTAAAATTTGTCTTGCAAGGTTAAGTAAACACAACTGCAACGCTACATCTAGCCTGCGAGCAAGCTCTCTGGGGAGCTCTTTGGTGGGCCCTGTGCAAAGGATACACCCGTGAGACGACGACAGCAAGAAAACATCACTACGAGTAGATTTATACTCATGTTAAGCGTGAAGACTCCCCAGTAGAAAGGAGAAGCCGTTACGTCACGTTACCATGGTAGCAAAATCTGGATCGGACAACAAACAGAAAGCGTGAATTCGCACTCAGTTTTTCAAACTTTATTGATCTTGTTCAACTTCATTTAATTTGCCAAATGTTAGCGAAATTTCCTGGCGTTGAATCGAACAGAACCGTATCTGAGTTAAGAAAGAAAAGGAACATTACTGTGTTGTGTTCACTTACTCCATAAAACAGGCCCGTGATCAGGACATTTCATGTCGCCGTCGAGCAATGACAGCTAAGAATTGTACAATACGCGTGATGAACGTGCAAAGTTACCTTATTACAGAAAATTAACGCGACGTAGTGTAATGTTAGTCATTGTCTTAGTCTGAAAAACAGCCGAAGATATCACGTTAACCGTTGCCAAAACGAACAGACTAAAAAGAATAGTATTTTTTACAGTAATGTATATCAGACGATTTTATTAGGTGATTTTTTTTTCCAGATTACATTGTAGAGTTTAAGCAAGATCATTTGTTGTCATTTCTAAAGGTTTATCCGCTTCACCTCTAGATAAACTATTTAGAGTATCTGTCTACTTCATTGAATGTTCTCCCTTATTCCCATATGGCTTAGTATGTCAAAAGGTCCCATGCACGAGCGAGTCGATTTCAGGTAGCTTACGTGGGTAGCAGGAGCCCCAGTCTCCATTCGGAGGGGGAGTACCGCGGGCACATCGAAACACCCACGGCTGGAGACTGAGCCTAGCGTAACAGACACTTGTGAGTAACATGGGCGCAAGAAACAAAAGGGCGCGCGACATGAGAGGGAGCCTGTTCCCCTCTGAGAGCCCCGTTCTCTCTTGCGCCCATATTATTTATGCGCGCCTGGTAAACAGGCTAAATTTCAGGCGAATGTAATACCTGCCCGTTAACACTATTCCGACCAAGACCTCTAATTTAAAAATCGGAATTACTTTCCTCGTAGATGTGTATTTGCTATAGATACTGGGTTTTCAATCGTGCATGAGATCGGATAGAGGCCCTGGAAAATCGTAATTAAACATTTCAAAGTCTTCTTCAAAGGCCTTACCCAGCTGAGCGATCTTCTCCTTGGGTATCGGGGCATAGCTTTTAAGAAGTTGACTTGTAGTATTGTGGGTAAGAAACGGAGGAAAGGTCACCGCTCGATCCATTCCTGTTTGCCGTAGGATATAAGGTGCTTCTTCTGGCATGTCCTCAAAATGACCGATGAAATCGTACTTTATATCACACGGGTGACAAATTGGGCCGTACGATCGCCAGTGTGCATTTGCATCAAACCCAACATCACTCACATAATAAATGAACTTCCTAAAAGTAAGACCCTGGTCAAAACTATTGGAGCTAGGTTCGTCTTGTTTGTATCTTTCTAAAATTTTCGTTTTATAACTTTGAATTATTCCCCAAGGCCATTTGTTGTTTACCAACTTGTTATTGTAGGCTGACAAAAGCCTCTCGAGTGGTTCGCGAACAAATAGAAACTTAAAGTAAGATTTTAGCCTCACTTTAATATCCTCGTCCGAATAATCATATAAGAGAAATTTATAATGTTTGTCATCATGCACATCATCCACATCGGTGCGGTTATCAAGAGCAAGAAAGACACGTTTCCATTGACTGCAGGCCACCTTGGGAATATAGCAGAAGATTACTTTGTACTCATCGTTAACAATTACAGGATGATGGTATCGAGCGCTTCGATTTCTGCTTGAAGCGTGCTTCTCACAGTAGTCTCTAAGTCGCTGCTGTCGCACAGTTTGTCTCTGTTCAATCCGCTCCAAAAGGTGACCATCCTTCTCTATCTGAAAAGTGGATTTACAAACGTGGGAGCTTTAGCCAGAAGGTTCGATTAGAAATCAGGACAATCAGGATTAGCTTAGTCGGTAGGGGCGCTTAAACCGTGTAAACTGGCACCCAGGTAGTGTCCCTAATTAGTAATTTAAATACAACATTGACACTCAAGTAAAGTGCATTTTTTACACAAACAGGCTGAACAAGACATGAAACAAGCAAAACATTTTACGTTTCTGGGAAACTGCCCACCTAGCCCTCCCCTAAGCCAGCACTTTGCCCTAAGTAAGGAAGTAAGTGTTAATGTTGGCTTAGGGGAGGGGTAGGTGGGCAGTTTCCCAGAAACGTAAAATGATCCACAAAGTCTTCTTCCTACAACTCTGGCCGGTCCGTACTACCTTTCCCATCTCTTAATTCTTTATTTAGTATAGTTGAGACATTTAAAAGACATTAAACGATCTCGCAAACAAAACGATTGTTAGAGAGGATAAAATCGCGACAGACAAATATTAGCCTGCGTAGCAAGCGTTTCCGTTACGGAATTTTCGGTTTTGGCCGCGCGAAACCGCACAGAAACGCCTATGCTTGGCAGGCTAGATAAACGTCATTCTCCTATACCATTAAGACCTGTAATAATACGACGTGATTTAACCTACCTTGAGTTCTTTTTCAGCAATGCCTGCTGTTTTATCTACTTCGGGCAAGGTCCTGACCACTTCAACATCTATGGAGGAAGTAATGTCAGTTGCAGGGACAACAAAGATGAAAAATAAAAAGTATTATCGAGTTAAAATAAAGCCTCACTTTAATTACAATTTTTCTTGACCAATAGTTATCATTATTGCCCGCGCCGATAATGAAATCGGCCAGCGGACGTTAAATTTCCACAAATCCTTGGCCTGCCTTTGGCGTTTCCTTGACAAGAGTCCTTGATGAGTCATTACCGCTGGCAAATATCAGCCCTGACAAGTGTTCAGTCTTGACAGCTCTCCTTGTTAAAATGCTACTCGCCAGTTTTTTCGTCAGGGAGAGCTGCCAAGGACAACTTCTGTTGGAAACATCTCTGACGTTAATTAGCCATAAAAGGCCATATATATCAGTTGCCTAATGAATATATGATTAAAACCTTTCTGTTAATAATATCTAATAAAGGAATATTGCTTATCCAAATAATCGCAGCATTATATCATGTGTTAAGCCAAGAGTGATTGATTCGCCTTCAGTCGTAAACATTAAGTAATAGTTTTAACACATTTAAAGGAGAAAAAATGCAAAACATATTTATTTAACGAGACATTTTAATTTCTGAGTTTAAAACTTTCATTACCCAAGGCTTTCTGTGAAAAAAATAAAAATAAAAAGTTGGACACTGACTATTTTGAAAAACCTTAAAGTAAAAAAGAAGTATAGACAGTCATTTCATCGCTAGAAACTCTGGCTACTTTGAAGTTAATGCAGGAGATGGCGATTAATTTTCTTTGTGAGGAAAGTTTGATCGAAAACGAATTGCAGAACAGCAACTTACATGCATTACGTTTGAAGTATTTTTTGGTCCAGTAGAGTGTTCCAAATGGTTAAAGAAGCGTTCAACTGAACATTTATTAGAAAAAAAAGCAGGAGGGATTCAGTTAGGTAGTGAACTGTGGCAGCAGTTTTGATACGCGTAATTTCCTGCCGCATACTTATCTGACGAAAGGAAAGTGCGCGGAGTGAAAGCACCATCTTTCTATTTTTGAAGTTAGTTAGTTAGCCAACAAACGAATAACAAAAATCAGTGTCCTTTATCGGTCAAGATATATACAAGAATTGAAATTTGAAAAAGGTAAAATGGTAGCTTACCTTGGTACAGAGCAACCATGTACATGGCCAGCAGAATCAGTAAAATGATCAGAGATACAAACAAATTTCTCCAAAGTGGAACAGCCATTAAAGAAATGAAAATAAGATACTTTGTCGGTTTATATTCAACAGTTGATCATTTGTTTGTTGCTCAGCTTTGCTTTATCGTTTGTAAGGTATTTCTCTTTACCTTCACATATGCGCAGTACTGACTCTGATCACGTGCCTTACGATATTTACTCGAAGAAAGCAGCGGAGCTCATTGAACTTTTCTTCTTGCCGCGCTTTGTTTGGGGGGCGGTGTTTATTTGGACACAAAGCTTATTCAAAACCTCTTATTTGCCAGTAACACAGTACCACGCGCACGTTATTCTCTCTGTTTAGCAAGGAGCCCTTTCAAAGTTATTTCAAATTGTCTGTAGCATTTTTGCCTGAGATGGCTGAGTGGCTGACATGTCTGCCAGATCATCGGCAGAGTCATGTTCTTCTAAATGTGAGACCAAGGTCCACTAGATTCCAAGCGGACGGTCTGAGGTTGTTTCACTTATCACCCAGTCTATGGCTACTACAAAAAAGATTGGACAAAATAAAACTCTGTTGTACTCTAGACTTGATGGGGAATGACTCTAAATAACAATCTAAGGTAGTAGTCCGTATGCCCTTCAAGATCTTCCACTCTGTCGAATGCTTTCTCAAAGACAATGAAGTTGGTAAACAAGGGAACATTCCATTCAATGCACTGCTCAGTGATGTTCTGGAGAGGAAAATCTGGAACAATGCAGCCTCGGCCTGTACGAAATTTAGTCTGTTCGGGTCTCAACTTAGGATCTATGGCACTATCAATCATTTTGAGGAATGTTCTGCAGAATATCTTGCTGGAAATGAGCTGAAATGGAGAGAGGTGTTACGTCTTGCCACAGTTGTTACAGTTGTTGAGGCCCCCTTCTTTGGAATCTTGTGAATCATTATCATCATCATCTAACGATTTCCCACATGGAATATACGTATCTAGCCTGCGAGCAAGCTCTCTGGGGAGCTCTTGCGTGGGCCCTGTGCACGAGATTGCTCCCATGCAAAGGATACACCCGTGACACGGCGACAACAAGAAAACGTCACTACGCGTAGATTGATACTCATGGTAAGACTCCCCAGTAGGGAGGAGAAGCCGTTACGTCACGTTGCCATGGTAGCAAAATCTGGATGACAACAAACCAAAAACGTGAATTCGCACTTTTTCAAACTTCACTGATCTTATTCAACTTCATTTAATTTGCCAAGTGTTGGCGAAATTTTCTACGGTTGAATCGAAAAGAACCATATCTGAGTTAAGAAACAAAAGGAACATTTTTGTGTTGTGTTCACCTACTCCACAGATTGATGAGAACGTTTCATGTCGCCGTCGAGCAATGACAGCTAAGAATCGTACAGTACGCGTGATGCACGTGCAAAGTTACCCTATTAGAGAAAATTAACACTCCATGAAATTAAGGTATTAGAAATTAACACCACTTAAATTAACGCGAATTTAGTAGAAAACGACTTTTGAATAAATGAAATTAAATCGCGAAAGAGAGGCCGGGTAACATTTCAAAATGAAGGAAATTAACTCGACGTGCACAAAGAAACAAAACTTGCTGAGACAACAGCAACGAAGATCAAACGTAAAATGCGAAACGGAAACTTTGTTCGTGGTTCTTTCCTTAAACGTTAAGCGAAGAAATCTGGCCACTGCAAGTTCTACACAGTTTTACTGTTGCTGGCGGATCTTCACCCTGATAAAGTACTCCTCTTTCTTAGGTCTCGAGAACGCCAGAAGTGTATTGAGAATTTGGGGTCAAAAAACATGGAAGTTAATGTCGCGAAATTAACGCTACACTTAATTAACGTCGCGGAAATTGACGTTTACGGAAATTAACTAGCCTGCGAAAACATCCGTTTCTCCTCGCTCTTCGTCGCTGAGGACGTTTCGCGCGGAGGAACGTCTGCGACTCAGTGACAGAAATTCCATACTGATGACGCAAATCAATGTTTAAAAAATAAATCCGGTAGTCATGGGGTTCCAAATATTAATTTTGCGTGTCTTCTGGTCCATTTTGGTAAAGTGTTGTGTTGATCTGCCCACGAGTTCCAGCAAAACTCAAATGCTTCTTCTAGAGAAGACTATATTCCACAAATATTGACTGTTTTGTTAGAGATTCTTCGTGTTTACATTTGACCTTTTTGGCCTTTTGTCTTTTGTCTGTCATTTGTAAACAATAGCTAAAACAATGTAACTGCTCCGTCGACCAATCAGCGCTTCTGACCGGATTCTGGACAGATTTTACGTCAACAGTATGGAATTTCTGTCGCTGAGTCGCAGACGTTCCTCCAAGCGAAACGTCCTCAGCGACGAAGAGTGAGGAGAAACGGATGTTTTCGCAGGCTAGAAATTAACGGGACTAAAATTAATGGGAATTTTTGAAATTCGCGTTCATTTCCTATGATAAGGAATGGTTTTGCTAATATAAACCATTGCTTTTTTGCCGTTTTCGTTGCCGTCGCCGTCGTCGTTGCTTAAACTGTTTTTATCCAGAAATTTGGCTCTCTTGGTAACGTGACGTAACACATCTCTTCTCTATTACGCTGCCTCCAATCACTATACGAATAAATCTCGGGGTTCTTAGAAAACACGTAAATTCGCTTAAGCTGTTTTCTTAGAAGTAAGATGTGCCAGGAAGGTGTACGCAGGCCAAGGTGGTAAGGGCAGAGGAGACTACTCGGCTTCCCCCGTCACGCCACCATGCCACGGCGTTGATCTTCATCCATACATAATTTCCTACTCTACGTAGTCTTTCTTTCTCAGGGGCGGATCTAGGGGGAGGGTGCAGGGGGTGTGCACCCCCCTCCCCCCGAGATGACCTGCAGTAGTTTTCTAATACAACTGGTATTCTGCAAAAAAAAAACTAGAAAGAAAATCCTGGATCCGCCCCTATTTCTAGAAATGCATTCGCTAAAAAGAGATTTGTTTATAGTGGAAATGCACATACATTTCCCCTCATCCTGTCTTTGGCCTTTTTTCCCCACTGCAGAGCCTGGTCCCAGGCTACTGAAGGGCTAAAATATATAAAATATCAGCAGGTCGACAGTAACAAGTGGTGCCGGTTCTCCCAGTTGTAGACCTGGATCAGTACAATTAAACTTAAATAGGTTTAAATATATAGTTTTTGTTTTATTCATTTGTTTACTTCTTGATCGCCTTACCGTTAGAATCAGTTTACCGTTTCATACTTTTCTACTGGAGGGCTCGCAGAAGCTCGCTATGCGAATTGTGTCGCCGCATGTCACCTGTCGGGAGGCACTAGGAATCTCTAGTTTAGAGACACTGTTTGATCGGAGAAAGGTTTAAAGGGACGAAATGTTTCAGGACATACATCAATAATCCCCAGAATCGCGAATCATACTTATTTTTACCAAAGGTTTAAAGGGCCGAAATGTTTCAGGACATACATCAATAATCCCCTGAATCGCGGATCATACTTATTTTTACCAGAGCCAAACAAATGTTGTGTTAGTAATTGTCTTAATCTGAAAAATAACCGAAGATGTCACGTTAACCGTCGCCAAAACAAACGGACTAAAAAGAATAGTATTTTTTACAGTAATGTATATCAGACTATTTTATTAGGTGATTTTTTTCTAGATTACATTGTAGAGTTTAATCTAAATTATTTGTTGTCATTTTTAAAGGTTTATCCGATTTACCGCTAGATAAACTATTTATTGTATCCGTCTACTTCATTACATGTTTTCTCTTATTCCCATATCACTTAGTATGTCAAAAGGTCCCATGCACGAGCGAGTCAATTTCAGGTAGGCTACGTAGCAGGAGTCCCAGTCTCCAGCCTGGTGGGGAGTACCGCGGGCGCAGCGAAACACCCACGGCTGGAGACTGAGCCTAGCGCAGCAGACACTTGTAAGTAACATGGACGCAAGAAGGGAAAAAAAAGCGGAATTACTTTCCTCGTAGATATGTATTTGCTATAGATACTGACTTTTTAATCGTGCATGAGATCGAATAGAGGCCCTGGAAAATCGTAATTAAACGTTTCAAAGTCTTCTTCAAAGGCCTAACCCAGCTGAGCGATCTTCTCCTTGGGTATCGGGGCATAGCTTTTAAGAAGTTGACTTGTAGTATTGTGGGTAAGAAACGGAGGAAAGGTCACCGCTCGATCCATTCCTGTTTGTCGTAGGATATAAGGTGCTTCTTCTGTCATGTCCTCAAAATGACCGATGAAATCGTACTCTATATCACACGCGTGACAAATTGAGCCGTACGATCGCCAGTGTGCATCTCTATCAAACCCAACATCACTCACATAATAAACGAACTTCTTAAAAGTAAGATCCTGGTCAGAAATATTGGAGCAAAGTTCATCTTGTTTGTATCTTTCCAAAATTTTCGTTTTATAACTTTGAAT